CGCATGACCGAGCGTTCGTGGCTTGAGCAACTTGAATGTAGCCACTTCAGCGATTACTTAGAAATCGCTACACCACATTGGCAACGGCGGATGCTCAACGGTGAAGACTATCAGCTAGAGGACGACAGTGAAGACCAACAGCAGAGAACAGCAGCGAAGGCCCGCAGCTGGAGGACAACATCGGAGATCAACAGAAGGAGACACAGAGACCAAGAGCAGATGACGAAGACCAAGTGACGACCATACCCGCGGTTTGGAGGTGGGCCGGGTATGCGACCCATATCCAGACCTGTGACACTTGAAGGAAGATCGCGAGCCTGAAAGCTCGCTGGAAGTGTCTATGGGTGACCAGCGTGCGGTTCAGAGGCGACGGAGAAGGCTAGTAGCAGTGGATGTATAGGAACTAGGAATAGTCTCAGTTGAAGATTAGCCGTGTAGCCGCGAGGAAGCACGAGCAGAAGGTTACGCAGTCTGGTGTAGCTGCAGCAGATAAAAAAAACCAACAAAGATTCGCTTATAAGCAGTAAGTGAAGGTGGTGTACACTGGGTGTGACTGGAAACGGGTATCAGCAGCCCCGTAGAATTATGACGCTCGCGGTATTAGCAGCCCGCCGAGATATCAGCAGCCCTCTGGAGTGTCCGAATTAGGCATAGATCCTGGTGGAAACCCACTGCTACTTTCAGTCTGTAGATTGCGTGCTCGAAGCCATACATATGTTGGTATTAGGGTGCGTTTCTAGGGCTAAGAATACGTAGCTAAGTAGCCACCGTCCTCTGATCAAGGACAGGCCCATCAGCTGGGTAATGGTGACTGAACTGAGCCGCGTGAAAAAGAGCATTTGCTTACTGTACACAGCAAAAATCTCGTCCCACTTACCTGCTTTAATACTACCTTCACAAAAAAAAAACGCACATTCTTAAAAAAAAGAAATGCGAGAGCTCCGCCTCGTTCCTTTTCCGGGTATAAGATATGCAGAGGTTCGCTGTACGAACCTCTTGCACAAAATTGGCTATTGGCAGTAGTATCACGCTAGTAATATGGGCAAGTAGGAAGGATACTTAAGCAACTTTAGGTGATTGCAACTTCTCGTTGCAATCACCTACTTGATACTACGTATAGTTTAGTATTATCCTATTGTTGTTCCTCATCGGGGACAACTCAGTACTTTTGATTTAAAGCTCATCATTGCTCAAGATCGAACTTTTTTTTGTATCGTCTTCAGACATGGCTGAATATAAAGGTCTTTAAAACTCGCCAATAATTTGTGATTTTGTTATTGGCTAGAAAGTTGTTCGTAAGACCAGCAATTTGCATGAAAAACGCTCAATATGGACCCATAACATGGACATACTAGAGATTTTTGATAGAACAACTCTTTCATTGGGTATTGACTTGGAGGTGCCGTGGCGTATTTTTAGCCGGGTGTTTCACCGTCGTTGTCTGTACGAAAACGAGGTCCGTTACCATTCACTGTTTCCATTTATTCTAAAATTCAGAGTTGCCTTCGGAAGGTGAAGATAGTCATTTGGTGGCGGGGATTGAGATCAGTCCTAAAAAATATCAGTTGTCTGACAAGACGGTAAGGTTCGAGGACGCCAAGATTGTAATTAGTAGTCTAGTGTAAGGCCAGTGTAGTACCTCTCTACTTTGATTTCACTTTACTTTTTCTCTGCGCAGCGAAACCCGCCTCACCAGAATCCTCGAGAGGAGAGTGGGTCAGACTTGTCTATTTAACGTGTTATTGTAAACACTCGAACTGGTCGCCAAATTTACTATTTACCCCCACGCACCTCAAGTTGGACGAATGAGGAATTTCTCTTTCTTTCTCTGAAACAAACAAACGAAATACATCAACATGAAAATTAAAAAAAAATGGCTGATGTTTAGTCCCAGTGCCTCAACTTTAGAAAAAGCAACAGCGCAACAACATCTGGAAATAAAGACAGTTGCATATACTTCTGAGTGGTAGAGGACTAAACATTTTCTTCATTTGTCATCATTGTTTAGGAGCTGGAACTAATCTACAAAAATAAACAACACCAACTGACTCTGTAATGAAAGGGCGGCGCATTTTGGGTATTAGAACAGGGCGACATACAGAATCCCTCTTGTTGCTTCATAAACGTTACCTCTAACACACGTGACTGTACCTTTACATTAAACAATCCCTCAGGAGCACCACACTACGAAGAAAGATATGTAAACTAGTGATACACAACACACAACTTGTGTAGCACAAGTTCACACAACTGGTAGTACAGTGTCGCCAGACACTAACCTAGTAAGAGTGCTACAAAATCGACGAATGCCGTGTGTTACAGGGAAAGCTCTATATTCCCAAACAAATATACTGCTGATTTTTAGAGTTAAGGTAGTCCTCGCAACAACTTTCCAAGCGATTGATATCGGGATAAACAAGGACAGCAGTGAAAACATATCCTATTCCACGGACATATTCGTGTTTTTAACATTACACCAACTAAACGTTAGATGGTTGGGAGTATTATTTATAAAGTTGTATGTCTGTTTGTGCTTGACAGTGAATCAAAAATACCAAGTAAGCTGCTTTGATTATACTTCGAGGTGATTTTAACTGGACATATCATCTTCTAGTTAATATGACTTGTGCTGAATGGACTGTTTGGCCTAATAAAATGTGAGCCTTTTTGCTTGTCGTGTTGGTGAACTAGTCTTCAGACCATTTAAAACTTTAGATCTATCCACGCATATCATTAGGAAATTAATAATTTGCAGGCACAATCCCCATTTGAATCAGTAGTGTGCGTAATATTTGATTAGTGCGTAGTACTAATCACTATCAAGCGCCATTCTTGTAGTCATTCTCGAATTTGCGCACCAGAAATCAACGTCTAATCCAACCGTTTCACAATGAAGGTTCTTCTCTACGGCGCTCTCCTAGCTGTGGCGATCTCGTCGACGTTTGCCGAGTCTTCCCCCGACCTTGACCGAAAGCTTGCTATCTCTTCTGGTAGCCGGTGTGCTGAAATCATTTGTTCGGATGAGTACGATCCCGTCTGCGGCTCTGACGGGTTTACCTACCCGAACAAGTGCAAGTTGGACTTAGCTAGTTGTGCCCTCCCGGAGCTCAATATCAAACACATTCCTTGTCCGACTCCAAGCCCTTCAGTCATGATTGAGTTGTGAACATACCAACGCTACCGCAATGACTCGAATTATCGCGATCAATACTGGCTCGGTTTCAAAAATGAAACCTAAGCAAAAAAAAGAAAAGGTTTACAATATTGCAATAAAATCGATTTTGTTGCTTGAAAACATCTACTGTGTTGATTTCTAGATAACCCTCAACAGAAATCATAACCTAGAAAGCTTCAGTGAAGTGGGACGTCGGGTGAACCTTGGACCACGGAAGGAGTGCTTAATAAAAGCCAATAGCGTTTTCTGTTGACAGGGTTTAAATTAAGATATGCACCAGGACTTGTCACCATTAGTGGATACGGTGTTGGACGTGAATGAATTCAATTTACGAGTGTTTTAGGTGTTGTTGTTCGAGTTAGTGGGGCACATTCTATCACCGTATTCAGCGACGGCGTTGTACTATGATGGTTTGTACAACAAAGATTGGGAACTGCAACTCCCTGCAAATGCCTACTTGTATTGTCAGAAGCAAATTAGAAAGTAACCTAGTCTGTTTACTTTCCCAGCGCTCTCTCCTTCCTCCATGGCAGTCCAGGGAGAATACCTTTTGAACATCAGCTTGTTGTAGCACGAACATGTGCTTGCCGGTGGATATGCCTCAACTATATTGCGGGTTGGAGGAGCTGACGTAGAGATGCAATCCATGCCATCGCCACACATACACTACTACGTAGACCGATTATACTCCATACCGCGTTTGAAACGGTTACATAATCGAATGGCAATAGCTAAGTAAGTACTCTTATATTCCATCGAAGCGCTGGCGTCATCCCTCCTGCTGCACATTTGAATATCTACAGCATCCCTTGTGATGGAAGACTGGTGATTTTTATTCAGGACCCAGTGGAGGTCTTGAATTCGACGATCAACTGTAATTTCGAGCAGGTCGAAGATGCTCAAGCTTGTTTGGAGCTGCTGGAATTCACCCGTCACTCTACGCGGTGGACTAGCAGACACCAAGAATCAGATAGAGCGGCTTGTGCGCTAGCTCTGACTTGATTCTTCAAAGCCTAATTCTCGTGCTGTGCCTTTTCCAAACGCGTCTGTTGCACGACGGAGAAAATCATCCTCTGCGTATCCTGAAACTTGCCTCGGCTGCCGAAGTCGTGCTGTTGCCGAAGTCGTGCCAGCTCCTCCTTTCGGCGTAACCATGACTGACTCTTTTTTTCTTTTGGGACTTAGATGTGCAGTGCTTGGAGTCGGTAGTGGTTTGGCAAGGGTTTGTGCTGGATTTACCTGTTCACTGGCGCTGGGCGTTTGTACTCCCTGGTGCGCAGATTTACACTCGACAGGCGTCAATTGCAAGGTGGCATGCTTGTTCAAGTCCTTGAGAAACATGCCCAATAATTGCCTTGCTTCGCTGTCATGTAGCGTATCCGTCATCCTGTATTCTGCTTCTTTGGTCAGACGCCAATCCAAATGCGTAAATCCGCAGTGCCTTTACCGCATCTCTGCGCCCAAGGCGGTGAGGCCGCGCAGGAAGCGCTTCCCGCACGGCCACTGGCAGGCGAGTGAGGGACACCGTACTGTACGGTACAGTCAATTTGGACCTACCTCGGCACAAAAACGAGCGTTAACGCTATCGCAACTGTAATACGACCACCAGGCGATCAGAACCTTAGAATTTAATAGTTTAAAAGTGTTATGTATGAATGATTAGTAACAAGTGCGAATTTCAGGCACAGACGGCCTTGACTACCCTGCTAGTTTCTGCGCATCGAGGCAGCTGCAATTGCTAGCTCTTGCGTACAGGTTTATTTCATTGAATTGTTACTGGACGACTTCCCAATGCCCTTATTGCAATAGTAGTCAAACGAAGGCTTCTTAAGCTATTAAATTGGTTGGCAATGTGACTGGAAATGAAATTCCTTTCAAACTTGCAACTTTATCCCTACTACGGCACTAACCATTGGACATATCAGTTTCCCAATGAAGCTAACTACAGTACGTTAGACAAACGTAGACAAACGTTGACATATGCACACCATTCGATGTGTTATTAGCGGGTAAATTTAGCTTTTCAAAAGTATGTTTGTAGTAGAAATCATATATTTAATTAATTTTTAATCGTCGATTTAGGTGTGCTAAGAACAATTGAATTTCATAAGAACAAAATGGGCAAAATCCTCGTTTATTTAGATTTTTATGATGATTTCGTTCTTTTGCCCATTAAGGTTGTCTGAAAACATATCATTTCTAAGGCGAAGTGTTTTCTTAGATAAACCTCTGCGGCCAGACAATCCAGTTCGTTCAACTTGATTTTGTTCTGTGGATATTTGTACATCACCTCAGCGGCCTCGCTGCAAGAGTGCAATTTAATACGCACGACGAATGCGTACGATCAGTAAACCACAGTGTAGTAAGGGAGTGGCAACAAAATTAATAAAATACTATCATTTGGTAAACTCAAAATTAGACGGGTAGGGTTTCAATCCAAGAACTACATCCAAATTTTCATCACGTTGACCATTGTTAAGCTGACCTGTGACTAATCTAAAACGCACTCCACATACACCCAGCTCATCAAGGCAACTCAATGTTCAACCAAGGCTTGATGCGTTCGAGAACGCGACGCAGCATCCAACCGTCACCGGGGTGACTGTCCTTGAGGATCCTGCCTTCATGATGCAGACAGGGAAATCCTCATTTGGCTGATCGATAGTTTCATAGAAATCGGCAAGTCCAAAGACATGACCAATTTCATGCGCCACCATCACCACCTGTTCCTCGTTGATGCTTGAAATCATGGCATCCTCGTCGATGCGCTGACCCCAGTCGCCACCAGCACCACCACCTTGGCACAACGTTGGCCACAGAGACATGTCAAACGGCACCCCTTTGCAGGCGCTAGTCTCGGCGTTGGTCGCGAAATCCTTGTGCTTGTAGCATGCTTCCGGACACTGCGGAACCCCATCAGCATCCTTTTCAGTCGAGTAAATTGTGCCAAGAGAATCGTCAGACCAATCGAAAAGAGTGGCACCACGCGTTGCCCACCCACCAATCTTCACTACGAGTGACTTCAGCAGCCAACAGTCGTATCCGACGAGCCATTCGTTCCAAGCTATTGAATTGACGATTCATCATGGCCTCATAGCTGACAATACCTCCTCACTCATAGCAGCGGGTCTCTCCTTTACCGCCCTTGCGGTAAGTTCGCAAAAATCTCATGAGGCTTCTGGCAGCGACAGCGTGGGCTGGAACTGCAGCGTCATTCAAAGTCGTTGCAAACACGTTAACCTGATTATCGCCTGAGACGACCACACAAGCATTGAAGCAGGAAGACGAGTTGCCGTAGTGACGCACAGGCAGAATTAAAAATTGCAATTCAATAAACTATGGGTTTTGAATAAGAACAAATTATTATGGACCGATCCGACTCCAATACAATAAGAAATTGATCCAGTTATTGGCAATAAATAAATGAAAAGAATCCCTGAGTAAATTTCGAAGAAAACAGTTGAACTTTATACACGTGTTGCTGGACTATTATGGTTCCTGCTGCGTGTTGTTTCGCGTCCTCTATAAATCCCTTAGCACACCATATTAGTCGATGCTTATGTGTAGTAAGTTACTTTGACTAACTAGTCCTCGTATCATTTCAATAAAGTTCGTGAACTCAAGTAGCACATTGGTCACACCGCATTTGCCCTACGTTTTGACATTTTGCCGAGGACGGAACATTACTTGTTCAAGGCTGATAGCCATTCAATGCCATGGGCACCCTTACGTCATCGTAAGTACGGTTCTATCGTTTACGGCGGATTATGTCCTGGAACTCAGCATCCGTCTCACAGCAGATTTGATGTGAGTAGCCAAACATTGAGCTGGAAAGGGGCAGATTTACTTCGCCAACAGCTAGACGGAAATTGTTTAAGTTTACATGTATCACTCTACAGTGGCTGGACTGGTTAGTGGGTTAGAAGGGTTAACCTCTAGCAACTGAATCAGGGGGGAGGATGATAATAGTAAACACTGAAGAGCGTTTTCAATACTTTGTTGTGTTTTGAAATGCATTACCCATAGCAAACTAACAAAACTAGCTTCGAGACGCAATCTACGTAAAGTATATTCAATGATACCTACTGCCCCTTGGAAAATGCATGCATGTATAAGTTAACTGGCTAGCAACCAGCTGATCTGTGCTTAGTTCACGCCCGTGATACAATACTCTGCTCTCCTGTCGATGCATCGTTCGTGCGTCGCTCATGGACTTCACTTCGTATTTGTCCGCTTACCAGCCAACGAATCATGGAGACCACGCTTCACCCTCCTGGCTTTCACGAACTAAGTGTCAATGTCATTGGTTGCGTAGTGCAACGGTCTTTGTCTTCTCGCGATCGAAGTGGTGGTGGACGAGTCGCTGGCTACTACTGCAATGATCAGCTACAGACTCGATCAATCCTACCGAATTGTTCAACGACCAAGGAACACACAACTTCGAATGCAGCAAATTTAAGCAACTCTAGACAAGCGCCCGTCGGTCAAGCAACCCGAGTCACGCCAACGAAACATCGAGACACTAAACAGTACAAACTGTCAGGGCGTCGAAAGAGCAAGGTTCAAACAGGCAGCACTACCATGACGGAGCGCCGTCGCGAGTATTACCGGATGAAACAACAACGATATCGGGATCGGCAACGACAATGTGAGGAAGAGCTCGAGAGCTCGACACGACAACTAACAGAAGAAATTAACCAACTCAAGCGGCACCGTGATCAACTGACATTCCAGGCACCTCGCAATCTAACAATTTGGATCGTCGCAACCGAGTATCTTCGCATATTTAGTCGTGGCGTCTTCACTCGTGATGACATCAACCCCAACGATCTTGCGCTTCTGGACGCAACAATGGCGCGCGACGTTTTAGTTGAGCCCACCAGTGGCGAAGACGCTCTGATTAGGAATTGGAGTCTCGTCACGCAATGGTTTCCAGACGTACTCGTTCAGCTCAAGCAGCTGAAACAACTCACAAAGAACTCGCTAATCGCGTCTATCACTGTCAGCTTCACCATTTCAGCTGCCGCGATGCAGGGTGCGTTCCCACACTTGCTCAACGCAAGAGAAGGTAGTCGCTGTGCCCAAATTGCTGAGCGAGTATGGGACCAACATCTCGTTTTGCAAGGTTCAGTTTGCTTCGACTGGGATGACAAGAGCAAACAAGTTATTCGTCTCCACCACCAAGTTGATATGATGTCAGCCATGCTACAGATGCTAGGTAATCTTGAGGATGTCGCTTTAGTGTTCAATGGAGCACACGTTACGCCCGAGTGTGCCGTCTCTTCAGCGTTGATGTCAGCAGTGGCTCATACTTGCTAGATTCGCTCGGAATTCAAAAGTCATCGTAGTCATTTTGATGTTGTTGGTTGTGGCAAATCACTGTTATCTCCATTAAATTTGAGAGAATCTGTCAACCGACGACCCTCGTTGTCTCATTAAGCTACTTCTATTATAAACCTTTTCTTATTAAAATTCACTCCACGCGATCGCATAGCTACTGACTGATACCAGGCCTAATGCAGAGCAAAACCGACAATCTCACGTTGACTGGGTTGTCCTCGTGGCCCCCTTCGCTTTTTAGAATGAATGTAAATGTTTCTTTCGAGATTTTAATTGTGAAAGTGTGGCTGATGGAGAGTTTTGTTTTGCTGAGGTGTGTGATCCACCTTTCTTCAAGGTAGATCACACACGTAGGACAGTAAATGCAGTCGAAGTGATAGGCGCGGCTGAGCGTGCAGTGCAAAATCGGGATGATATGACGGTATCTAAGGGCGATCGAGGTCGTCTACGTCGACAACGACGAGCAAGTAATCGCCTGATCGGATCTGTAATGCAATCAAAAGGAGAGATTGCATGAAACCTAGATATTACAATACTCAATTGGAGTGGAAGCTGCAATAGTCAATTGCAGCACTACCCTACTGAAAGAGCTGCTGTCCTTGCTCATCAGCGTGTGCGTCTCTGCTACAAGTAGTGAATCACAGAACAATCGGTTTATCTTGACGAACATGATCGCTTCGAACCTGACGGGAAACAATCTGGGTCTTATGTCCGTGATGACATACTAGGCAGTGCTGAACAATCTCTGACCCACCACGGATACTCGTTTCAAAGAAGTGCAAGTCCTCATATGTAGTCTACGTACATCATTCTCAATCGTTTGCGTTCTTAGTTCCTGAAAGTGGTTCGTCGTCTCACCCGAAATATCCATAGTAATACGCCAAGGCTTGTCGATTCGCAATAGAGCTCTGAGGTAGTTCGTCGTCTCACACGAAATATCCATAGTAATACGCCAAGGCTTGTCGAATCGCAATAGAGCGAGGTGAACTTGAAGTAGCGTTGAAGTGAAGAACAGTAATTTGCCTCAATAGCGAGGCTCTCCTGGTATACGTTTCTCAATTAAATTGTGTGATATATACGTGGTTCACTACGAAATCATATGAATAGTAATAGAGTACACATTGTATTAAAGGTTATAAAATTATATGACCTGGCTATTGAGGCAAATTTCTGTATTGCAATATTTATTAAATTGTTTGTATTGCATATTTTAAATTACAATGCCCAATTGCATTATCCCCGCGGTTTGCAATACTCAACTGCACGCGAACAGCTAACTGCAATGTAACCTGCAATAGGGCGTAATCCAAGAAATCGATGCAAATTGATTTTTTTTCCCTTGCCTGCCACAAAGTAGCAACGAGAATTCTGCTGGTGCATTTGCTGTTTACCAGGCCGAAACGTGAGTCCCATCATACCATTTTTAACCAAAAATGATTATCAGGCCGGATTGTGCGTCCAACAATCATCAGCAATTGACCACTCGACAGAAGTCACTTTTCATTTAGCATTCTCCTCGCAATAAATAAGAAAATGAACGAACAAGGCGGAGGAAAGCCACTCGCCCCAGCGATCGGGTACGACGATGGCAAAACTCTGATGGCTCGAGGACCATTGGCACTACACGAGCATGTGGCTTCACGCTTGGAGACGTCGTTGGGCAAGGCTCTGCCTCAGATGGAGGTGCGTTTCAAGGACGTATCCATCTCAGCGGACATCGTGGTCAAGGACGCGAGTGACCTGGAGGTTCAGCTACCCACACTGCCGAACGAGATGATGAAGACTCTTCATGGTTTGGTCGCCAAGAAACACACAGTGACCAAGCGTATCTTGAGAGGTGTGAGTGGCGTACTGAAACCAGGAACCATCACGCTTGTTCTGGGTCAGCCTGGGTCGGGCAAGTCGTCGTTGATGAAGCTACTCAGTGGACGCTTCCCGAAGGACAAGAGCGTCTCGGTCGAAGGGGAGGTGACATACAATGGCACGTCGGCGGACGAGTTACACAAGCGACTGCCCCAGTTGGTGTCGTATGTACCACAACGTGACAAACACTACCCCGAACTGACTGTGAAGGAGACGCTGGCGTTCGCCCATGCTGCGTGTGGTGGGGAACTGTCCGAACATGATGCGAGTCACTTGGTGAACGGAACTCCGGACGAGAACGC